CCAGAGGACTGCGCTGAGCAGCTGCACATGGGGACCCTCTGCGTCCCTGTGGGGCATCGTGTTGAGCCCCAGAAAGCACTGAATCTGCGTGGTGGGGGGGAGGGGAGGAGCCCTCCCGCCCTGAGCTCCCGGTACCGAGAGGCTGGGCTCTGTGACCAGCCCTGAGCTCCCGGTGGGAGAGGCTGGGATCTGTGACCTGCTGAGGGGCCCATGGTGGCGCGTGAAGCTGCCCCAGCTTTGCTGAGACCAGCGGTGCAGGAAGCTGCATGGAGCTGACTTTGGGTCCCCTCCCGCTGGGGGCCTTGGTGTGCAGGTGACGGGACCCGGCAGGGCGGACTCTCTGCCTATGTGTTGCTTTGTGCGTTTGCAAGTTTGATGGTGGAACTGGTTCCCACCTTCCCAGCCTGCACTTGGGGAACAGACCAGCGGAGGCTGGGATTGGGGTCTGCACAGTGGACAGTCTGACGGGCAGGCTTGGTGCGACCAGCCAACCAGAGCTGAGCAGGAAGGGGTGGAGCCCGCCAGCCTCTCCCGCAGCCAGAAGCCCCACCCCCAACAGGAAAGGGGCCAGTCCAGCTCACTGAGGCCCCAGACACCCCCGAAGGGCACAGTCCTGAGGGGGAAGAGAGAGCAGCTCATACGAGGACATCACAAGAATAAGACTCTCAGGGACTGTTGTTTGGGAGCTGGAGAAAACGCTGAAAACCCCTGCTGGGGGCTGGGCAGGCAAAGGGCTCACTGGAATGTTCTTTAATCGAACCCACTGGGCCCAGGCTGCTGAAATGGCCCAGACAGACAAGGCAATAGGCTGAAGTCAATCTGAAGCTGCAGCAGGACAGAGCCTGGGGGACTAGAATCAGAGGACAGGGTAGGAACTGAGGAGCTGGCGGTGGAGCAGAGACTAACTCCTGCAGAGTGAGCGCCTGACAGCAACATCTCTAAGGGGAGTGATACCCTGGGCTACACTAGCCACCCTGCACCCTAAAGACTCTACAGAAGACTCTGGAGCAAGACCAGGCAACTACAAGGTTGCAAAATAGCTGACAATATCCTCCCTTCTGTCTTCCTGTCCTTATGTTTGATTGTTAGTTTCTCTTTTTCTCTTTATTGTATTTTTGTTTTCTCATTTTCAACTATTATCCTATTCCTATTCTCTCCCTTAATTTTTTGCTGGCCCTTCTTTCAGAATCTTTTCTCTGTTTCTGTTATCTCCCAGTACCTTCTCCATATTTTACATTTTAGTTTATTATTTTCTAACTTTTCACCAGTATTAACAACAATATACATCTCTCTCTCTCTAAGTGTTACTTTTCTTTCTCTCTCTCTTTTTTAAGCATTTGTGTGTGTGTTCTCCCTTCACTCTCCCAGTTCTATTTTCACATGGGTTGTTTTCATTGTGACTGTCAAGATATTTTATAAGATACCCCTTGTTTCCTGGAAGTTTAGTTGTGTATTGTCCTGCCTTGTCAGCACCCGAACAACAGCTTACATGATGAGGTTGGGGCTGATACACAGTTAGCCAAGTTGAGAGGAGGGTCCTCCCAAGGACTGATCAACAACAATCTAGACCCAAC